ACTTCTAGCCTCCCTGTGAGAAAATAAGTTCTGTTGCTTCAATCACCCAGTTTGTGGCACTTTTTGATGGCAGCCCTAGCACACTAATAGAGAGCAGAGCAGCAGAAAGAATTTCCACCTGCGGTCAGCAGCCTACCTCTGCTGATGCCTGCCCTCCAGGTTTCAGACTAGCTCAGCCAGTCCCACTGTCACATAACCCAAGCCCTTGCAACAAATCTCTTCACATGTACATCTCCTATTGGTCCTGTTGTTCTGATTGAATCCTGACTAATACAGAGAGTGTGCAAAGTGAGGACAGAAAAGCTGAGAAGGCTCTGGAAAACATGACCATTTAAGAAACACGAGAGGAAGAGGAGTCTGTGCTGTAGACGAGAAACCCCAAGGATGTGGCAGGAAGTGAAGGACAGGGTGATATCAGAGAAAGTGAAGGGCGTAAGACTGGTCGAGCATGCCAATTCTCCACAGAAATCAAGGGACAGTCAGCCCGAAATGAGCAGCTGAAACGTGATGTTCTAGCTTTGGTAAAGGAGCTTCAGGGAGGGAACCCAAGTACATGGGGCTGAGGAACAGGTGGAAGACAAGAAAATGAAGAAGAAGGTTTATCCCTCCAAGAAACTTACCTACAACACACAGGAGGATGAAAAGACATTAGCTAAGGGAACTCAGAAAAATGGAAGGGTTGTGGATATTAATTACCTGTAAGATGACAGATGCTTGAGTATGTCCAGATGCATAAGGGACAAAAGCAGTGAAGAGATTACAAATAGCGTAGAAAGGGGATAGCTAACACAGCAGAGACCTCAGGAGAGCTGGAGGTGATGAGATTCAACTCTCAGGAGCAGGGATTTGCTCTGGATACAAAGAAGGAAACATCGCCACAGAGATGGAATGATACAAGGCAGGGCAGCTGCCAGTGCACATATGTAGGAAGAGCATTCCCAGCAGCTAGACTCTAGCGTCACAGTGAACCACTGAGTTAAGACCATCCCCTGACCATGACGAAATATGGCCAGGGAGAGGGTTTAGGAATTAGTGCCAATGAAATTAGTTTGAGGTTCTTTTTGTTGGGTTGTTGTTTTTTGGTTTTTTTGGTTTTTTTTTTAGTGACAATTGGGAAAAGAAATCGGCTCTTTCTGGAAATAGGAGAGAGACATAAAAGCACTAGGCAGACTTGGGGTCAGATACACTTGAAGGCGGTGACTTTGCCTTCAAGTGTATCTTTACAAAGATAAAATTGATTTTATTCAGCAGCATTTTTTGCTGGGAATAGGAATAGGAAGATAAGGTACAGGCTTGATCCAGGGTTGAGGTTCGGACAACAGCAGAAGGACAAGAAGGCAAGGTAGCCGAATGTATTGTCAAGAGAGACTGCAGTGATGGTTTATGGTGCCCAGGCGAGGTAAGAAAAAAAAAGAGCATCTGGGAGAAAATGAAGGGCTGCCTGGTAAGAAAGTATCCACAGGTCTGCAGAAGTGCTATAGAGGGCAATGAATTCAACAGTAAACCAAAGCACAGGCTCTGGGGTCAGGCTGGCTCCACAATCAGCAAGGTGTGACCTTGGTCAGTTTATTTAATCTTACTTTGCCTTCATTTTCACCATCTGTTAAATGGGGATGGTAAGACACCTATAGTTGTGATTCACGTGAAATAGGGAGCTTTACCGGCCTGGCATATATTTAGTGTCCCTTGGGTTCTGGTCATGTCCGCTGGGGGAGGAGACAGTCATATGCTTGGAAGTTGTGGGAGAATGGTTTAAGATGTCACAGGTGAGATTGCCTGGCAAGTTGCAGGATGTGGGTGTGGATGGGCATCACAGCATTCACTGCAGGGGACCTGCACAGGAAGAGGTGGAGAGAACACAGGCTTAGGATCCTAAGTGCTACACCCATGGGCACACCCGAGGTGTCATAAGAGCCAAAGACAGAGATCCAGGGCTGAGGTAAGAACCTCCCACCCCAGGACCACAAACCCCAAAGCCTGGTGAGAAGAGAGGCTGGTTTTCACAATGAAAAGTTACTATGCCCTAATATTAGGCAGTTATGGCAGTTGGTACCTATGAAATGATGGAAACACTTGAAATTATAAATATATTCAGAGGGTACTGGGCAGCATTTCAGGCACCCAAGATGGGAAAGCTATTTGTAAGACAGGTCTAAAAATAGTCAAAGCTTTTTCCACAACCCTAACTTCCTCCCCAGGTCTGAACTGGCCATCTCGGACCTGCACCTGCCCCAACATCCAAGCATCTTTAGAATGATGTCCTAGATGACTGAACCATGCCCCTTTTCAATGTGTAATATTTTAAAATAGTGTCCCTCTCAAAAGTGATCCTCCATCTTTTCAAGCAGTGTTGCTTAGCTCTCAACATCAATTATAAAAACTGCATATGAGTTCCTCACTCCGGTTCTGCTCTCAGTCCTGGTGTGTACACCATAGCCACATCTCTCAAGTCTTCAGTTCCTTCTTCTCCCGAGTGAAATAAACACACATCCACCAACTTTTCTTTTGAGGTTTTATTTTTCAACTCTTTGACCATCTCTCAGTCTTAACCAACTCCAAATACTCCTTAATCCTCTTAGCTATAGATGTAAGCAAACTAATGTTTCAGTACATTGGCATTCCAGGATGATAGTGAAACTCCTCACTTTTCATACTTCATCTCCAAGTAGTTGGGAGTGGAGTGGGAGGACGGATGATGTTACATGAACTAGCTAACTTCTTTCGTATTTTTAGCTAAATGTATCTCCTTTTAACAAATTTTATTTTTTTTTAAGATTTTTTTTTTATTTGAGAGAGAGAATGAGAGAGAGAGAGAGCATGAGAGGGGGGAGGGTCAGAGGGAGAAGCAGACTCCCCGCCGAGCAGGGAGCCCGATGCGGGACTCGATCCCGGGACTCCAGGATCATGACCTGAGCCGAAGGCAGTCGCCCAACCAACTGAGCCACCCAGGCGCCCTCCTTTTAACAAATTTTAGCCCTGGATATCGTTTGGATACACACACACACACATATATATAATTATATATTGCATATGTTATATAAATATATGAATAATTAGTAAGTGTACTATATTATTATTTATAATGGTGATTATTCATTATGTATAATTACATGTAATTATTATATATATTTATATTTCATTTCTACTTCGATTTCTTCATATTCATATTTGACATTAAAATCCTAGTTAATCTATAATTCTGTTTTCATTCTGACATGTCTACTGTTCCCCATAGATATGTCTTTGCACATATTTTAGGATTCTTCATTCCTTTTGATCCTACTCTGCAGGGCTATATAAATAAACAGTTGTTAAGCAACTAAGAAGCTCTTCTCAAACTCAAAACTTCAGGTCCTCATTCAAATAACAATAAGATGTATTTATTTTGCTCATGCACTTAAATATGATATAAGTAGGAACAGAGTTGTTTTTTTTCCTTAGCATCTTCTTCTTGTGTAATAATGTTTTATTACAAAACAACAGCCTGTGAACCAAAGATCTCCTAAAAATTTTAATTGTAATTGAGAACACAGCTGTCTTTTCTTTTGGTTGCTATAATCTTCTCTCTAATGGAGAGCAGCCCTGAAATTACTAAGGACTTGGAAAAACAATGTGCTTTTAAAATATTTTCTCCCTCTGTAGCCTTTACTCATCACAGATAGAATGCCTATAAAATGCAATACACAATTATGGAAACCAAGGCTACCAAGCTACAAACACTAATTGTAGGTGAAATGAGCTTTATAATATATATTTGGAGGCTTAAAAGATGCGTTTTAGTTCCAGAGCACAGATGATGATAAAAGACCTGACATTCTCAAACCTAGATAGACAGATAAATGGGCATTTTTTTATTATGATGATTTCCCAAGACTCATGCTACTATAGGTAATGTTCTTAAGGTTCATAATAAATAAAGAGCTAAACTAAAATTAGAATTAAAAAACAAAAACGTAGTTTTTCTTCATCCCTTCAATGTCCCTGAAAAGAGTGACTTATGTCCCTTATTTTACAGGGACGTCTCAAAGGAATGTAAGCTCCTTATTCACTCTTAAAGGTGTATTTCCAAAGCATTAACTCTCCCAGAAAGGGAAATACATATCTATCAAAGGGCACCCAGAGCAAAGTTGGGATTTTTTTTCTTTTCTTGTTTTCTTTGTTGAAAGAGGTCAAAATAAGAATCACTTCACTTACCAGAAAATTAGCAGATATAGGTGGATATTTGGGTACTTATAATTAGAAGTTGACTTCAATGTAATGCCACCAAAGAACAATAAAATAGAACCATTGGTTTCTCTCGGTGGAAAATAAAAAGTAAAGCAATTTTTGAAAACCTCCACAACCCACAGTTTAGAGGATAAATATTGGATGGCTTATTTACAAAAATCACTGATATTCTAAATAAATGAGATAACATTTCAGTACTAAAAGGGCTCATGCGTGAATACCAACAACCCTAAATAGTATATGGCCTTTGCTCATAAACCATAATCCCAATCTGATGAGTCACAGAAAATTCTGAATATCTCCAGTGCATTCGATGGGCCTGAATTTTACCTTAAGAAATATTTGCAAAGGACAGAACAAAGTGCTCTGAACTGGCGCGGGCAACCAGGCAAAAAAGCCAGGAAAAGGAACTAACTTCCCTTCCAGAAAACGCTGACATTCCTCCACGCCCTAGTACTTTCCCTGACCACAGTTCTTAGTAGGGGTTTGGTTAGGGGGGAGGGGGGGAAGCGGGAGGGGGAGTGGAGGGTCATTCAAATGCTCAAAACGCCCCTGGCTGTTCGATTCGCCCCCTGTGAACCTCGCAGTTCCCCACCCAAAACTCTTCCAGGAAATCCTTTTCTTCAAGGCCACCCTCTGAGAATCTCCAGAGTCCTGCACGGAGGGCAAGGAGTTTCCGCAACCTGGAGGGAGCCGCAACCGCAGGTCCTGGCGGCAGAGCCCGACCTTCCCTCCCGACCCCAGCCACTGCGGCGCCCGGGCCCCGCACTCACCGGATGATCACGAACATGACCAGAGAGTTGCCCACCAAGCCCACGACAAACACCACGGAGTAGACAGCCGTGATGATGACAGGGATGGCGGGAGAGATGTGCGCGGACTCCAGCGGAGCGCCCTCGGATCCCCCGCTGCTGTTGCCGTCAGTCTCCGCCCAGCCCGGCAGCCAGCCGCTGCCGTTCGGGAGCAGGCAGGTGCTCTGGGAGCAGGTGGGGCCCGGCTCCCCGCGTAAGATCTGGACCGGGGACTCCATGGTCAGGCGGCTGCAGCTGGAGGGCAAGCAGAGGCAGAACCTGCAGGGCCACGAGAGCGAGAGAACCAGCTGGACCCGGAGAGGCAAACTTTGCCCGCCCACCGGCCAGCGCGCGGAGGCCAGCAGCCCGGGGAGCCCGGGACCCGCTGATGCCCACCCTGGCGCACGTCCCCAGAGGAGGAAAAAGGAGGGCGGACATCTCGCTGCAGCTGAGTACTGGTGAGGCGGACAGCGCTGGCTCCTCTTCCCGGGCTCCTGAAATCCCCTCCAACCCTTTCCTAGGCACGGTCCCCTGGTGGAATTGTCCCCAAACTGCTGCTCTGAGCCCCCAGGAACAAAAAGCTCTCGAGCACAAAGCCCTCGCTCCCCAGGACTGCTCCTCGAAAGTCAAAAGCCCAAAGCTCACCTCCGGCTCCCGGAGACCCGCACAGTGGTCCAGGGGACGGCCTGGTCCCTGCGGAACCTCGCGCTCCCGGGGCCGCTCAGCTCTCGGAGTCGCCGCGCATCCGCAGCCCAGCGCTCTGGCAGAGGCACCTTTTCAGTCGAGCTCGGTCGCCGAGCCCAGCGCGCGGCTCCCACGACCCGTGGCGGCTCAGCCAGGCCTTTGCTTCTAGGAGTCGTTGGAGCTCACTGGCCCGTTGGGTGGAGAGCTCCAGGGCGCCCCGCCCCGGGCCGCGCCCGCCCCACCCCGTCCCGCCCACCCAAACCCAGCCCCGCGCCCCCAGCTGAGGCTCAGGGAGCACCAACTACCCAGAGCCTCAATCAGCCTCTCTTGGATGGCCCTAAGACTGAGCTGCTGTGCCGTTTAGCTTTAGTAATAAGGAAGGGTGTGCCTCAGTGCAAGTATGCATCTGGGTTATTCAAAATAAAGTCTAGAACTGCTGTGGGCCTCATTCTCCAGACAGGTCTTCTTTCAAGAGAGGAGAAAAAGCATACTTTTATTTGAATGACCCATCCAAATAAAGTAGCAAAATAATCCAATTAGAATAAGACCAGGTCATAAGATATTAATGATTTAGTATACATAAATAGAATATTCCTGTGCATTGTATTCCTTCTAGTCTTCTCTGAGATGACACAAAGACTGCACCTTACAGGTATTACCTATATTTTGTTGTATTACCTGTGAATGAGTAAAACACTCTCCTTAGTGTTGGCCAGGGAGTTGACAATGTCTCTTTCTCTTTTTTTAATCCCTGCAATCATCACTTTTCTGTCCCTAGGGTGACTTCTCTACGAAGCCCCCAAGAACCTGAACTCCCATAGAGGAATTCAGTCATCATTTCTGTGCTTAACTCCACCAGTCAAGGATTGCTGTCAGATTCTGCTGGTGAAAGACACCCTCAGGCAGAGACCCAGGAGACAATGAAGAAAAGGAAGGAAGACCAAGGTAAGTTGCACAGGGGAGCCAGGACTCAGCCACTGAAGTGAAGGTCCTGAAGGACATTGGGAAGTTCCCCTCTCCCAACTGAGTATGGGAGTCAGGATGCTGATACAGTCATTCCATTCATCACTTGACTGCAGAAGAGAGCTCTTACCTTGTTCAAGATATTGTGACCCCCAGAGATGAACCATGAGAGACTATGAACTCTGAGAAACAAACTGAGTGTTTTAGAGGGGAGGCGGGTGGGGGGATGGGTTATCCCGGTGATGGGTATTAAGGAGGGTACATACTGAATGGAGCACTGGGTGTTATACGCAAACAATGAATCATGGAACACTACATCAAAAACTAATGATGTAGTGTATGGCAACTAACATAATAAAATAAAATAAAATAAAATAAATAAAATATGAAATAAACAAATGTGAACTGAAAAAAAAAACAGATGAATGGAGAAAAAAAAAGATACTGTGACCCCCAAAGAGGCATTTGACCACCAGAGTCTTAACAACAACCTCAAAATGCACAGCTCTTCTTAGCAATTTGATTCAAAGAACAATAGGAAAGCTCTCCTTTGCCCAACAGAATCCCTCCAACCCTGGGATCATTGGTGTTTTGAAAATTATTATCAAATCTTATATCTTTTTAGGTTTTGATTGCAGATTTTCATTAGGAGATGACAAAACATCAGAATGATGGGATCTCCATGTGTCTGAGGGTCCTTCTCTGTTAGGAAGATGGCAGATGAATCATCTCCATATGTCTGGGGGCTTGTTTCCTGCCAAAGGGATCCCAGACTACCATCAAACCGACCTAGGAAGACGTTTTGTTTGAAAACTAAGCAGTATCCAAATAAGAAAGAAAGTAAAAATAGTATGTTAAAGTAAAATAGCTAAGAAAGACAGAATTATCCATCTATCTTTCTGTCTACTACCTATTTATGATTTCATGCATTCAACATACATACAACTGTCTGTGCAACACACTTTTGAAAGGGTGTTTACAATATCTATCCTCCTTTTGCACTCACCACATTGGTTAATTTTTGTTGTTGTTGTATTTAGCACACAGGTGGCTCACACAGCTGGTAACATTACTGAGTTGGCTCAAACACAGGTGTTTCTGGCTCTTGCAATATGCTGATTGCACAGAATGATTTCATGTAAGGGAGCAAATGCAGAGCCACTCTTCCCCAAAAGACGAAATATATATAGAAAGGGTTATTTGGCAAGGACAAAAAAGAAGAACAGGAAAGGTATTACTTGAAAAGATTTAGGTAAAGTTGTTTTTCTCTTTTTTAAGATTTATTTATTTGAAAGAGAGAGCATGAGTGGGTGGGGGGGCAGAGAGGGAGAGGGAGAACCAGACTCCCTGGTGAGCAGGGAGCCCAATGTGGTGCTGAATCCCAGGACCCTGAGATCATGACCTGAGCTGAAGGCAGAGGCTTAACCGACTGAGCCACTGAGGTGCCCTAACAGTTTTAAAGAGGTAAAAAAACTTTAAAGACGTTTCCAAGTTGGTACAATTCCAATAACCTGAACTTTTGCTCTCCCTGTACGTCTCATATGTATACATAGTGTATGTGTATGGAGAGGTTTGCCAGGTACTTCTATAATGAAAGCAGAATGCAGAACTCAGCCTGGGACTTCTAAATTATAAGATGATGTTCTCATTCTGATCACCAATAAGAAACCTCTACTAGTTGGGACAGTCTTTTGAAGGCAAAAATTACTAATTATGATAAAGGCAGTTTTGTTTCATTTGAGTACTCCTATTTTTTTTTCTTTTTTACCAAACTAATGGCCAAAATAAAGTGAAGCCAAAATGGGCAGAGCATTAAAAAACCTTCAGGCAGTTGCGGTTGCCAGGGGAACCTCGCTTGTGTCTCTGAACACAGTGAGGAAGTCCGCTTATGTGGATTCAGGTTGTCAGGAGTATGAGATTTTATCATAATATTGGAGAAAAGCGAGGAGGGGCGGAGCAAGGTGGCAGAGGAGTAGGAGACCTGGATTTTGTCTGGTCTCAGGAATTCAGCTGGATAGGGATCAAACCATTCTGAACACCTACAAACTCAACAGGAG